GGGGGGGAACAGAAGAGGTTTCCTGGATTGACCCAGAGTGGCAACCAGGGCACCCTGGGAAAGGCTGGAGGCCCCCTATTTTGAAATAAGCATCTATATAGCACTTATTTCGATTTAGCTATTTCGAATTTGGCATTATTCCTCGTGGAATGAGGTTTACCAAATTCGAAATAAGTGATCCGCTATTTCAATTTAATTTTGAAATAGCAGTTTGGCTGCGTAGACGCTAGTAAAGTTATTTCGAAATAACAGCTGTTATTTCAAAATAACTTTGCTGTGTAGACATACCCAAAATTATGTGATTTAGCCTTTAACTGAAGTTATTCTAAACTTTCAGGAAACTGTCACAGTCAGAGTGCAGCTACGCTGCAGGGCTTTACTCGAAATAAGCTATGCAAATTGAGCTAAGTCAATTGTATATCTTATTTTGAAATAGGGAGCGTCTATACAGCACTTATTTTGAAATAGAGCACTCTTCCTCCAACTTCACTTATTCCTCATATAATTAGGGTTATAGGAGTCATAAGAACATAAGAATAGCCATACTGGGTCCATCTAGCCCAAAGGTCCATCTAGCCCAGTATCCTATCTGCTGACAGTTGGCAATATCAGATACTCCGGAGGGAGGGATCACAACAGGCAATCCCCAAGTGATCCTTCTCCTGTCACCCACCTCCAGGGAAACAGAGGCTAAGGACACCATTCCTACCCATGCTGGCTAATAGCCATTGATGAACCTAACCTCCATGAATCTATCTAGCTCTTTTTTGAACCCTGTTAAAGTTCTAGCCTTCTCCTCATACTCTGGCAAGGAGTTCCACAGGTTGACTGTACGCTGAGTGAAGAAAAACTTCCTTTTGTTTGTTTTAAACCTGCTGCCTATTAATTTCATTTGGTGACCCCTCGTTCTTTTATTGTGGGAATAAGTACATAATTTTTCCTTATTCACTTTTTCCACATCAGTCATGATTTTATAGACCTTTATCATATCTCCCCTTAGTCTTCTCTTTTCTAAGCTGAAAAGTCCAAGTCTTTTTAATCTCTCTTTATACATGGTTTTATATAGAGGCAATAAGATATTTTCTGTCTTATTCTCTATCCCTTTTTAAATGACTCCTAACATTCTATTTGCTTTTTCGACTGCAGCTGCAGACCAAGTTGATGTTTTCAGAGAACTATCCACAATGACTCCAAGATCTTTCTCTTGAGTAGTGGTAGCCAAATTAGTCCCCATCATATTGTATGTATAGTTGGGATTATGTTTTCCAATATGCATTACTTTATATTTATCAACATTAAATTTCATTTGTCATTTTGTTGCCCAATCACTTAGTTCGGAGAGATCTTTTTGAAGCTCTTCACAGTCTGGTTTGGTCTTAATTATCTTGAACAGTTTGGTATCATCTGCAACTTTTCCCACCTCACTGTTTACCCCTTTCTCTAGATCATTTATAAATAAGTTGAATAGTATGGGTCACAGGACAGACTCTTGGGGGACCCCACTAGTTACCTCTCTCGCCACTCAGCAAACTTACCATTTATTCCTACCCTTCGTTTCCTGTCTTTTAACCAGTTATCAATCCAAGAAAGGACTTTCCCTCTTATACCATGACAATTTACTTTACTTAAGAGCCTTTGGTGAGTAACGTTGTCAAAGGCTTTCTGGAAATTTAAGTATACTATGTTTACTGGATCCATCTTGTCCACATGTTTGGTGACCCCCTCAAAGAACTCTAGCACATTGTTTCGCAACTTTTTTTTAAATAAAGTACCCCTTTAAAAATAAATAAATAAATAAATAAATAAATATATATATATATATGTACCCCAAGTATCCTTTTTATCTACCATTGCAACACATTTGTTTAAACAACTTAATTGTAGCTGGGCTGGCGATGAAATTTTTGGGTGTAAAAAGTACAAAAATATTAAAGCGCTGTAAAACTTTAAACTAAAAATTCAGTTTCCTCCAAATTTTAGTTGTGTTGATGTACCCTAAGGGTACTCGTATCACTGGTGGAGAAACTCTGCTCTAGCAGATTAGTAAGGCATGATTTCCCTTTACAGAAACCATGCTGAATTTCCCCCAACAAATTATATTCATCCACGTGTCCAACAATTTTATTCTTTACTATAGTTTCAACTAATTTGCCTGGCACTGACGTTAGACTTACCAGTCTGTAATTGCCAGGAGCCTTTTTTAAATACTAGCATCACATTAGCTATCTTCCAATCATTAGGTATGGAAGCCGATTTAAAGGATAGTTTACATACCACAGTTAATCGTTCCACAATTTCCCATTTGAGTTCTTTCAGAACTCTTGGGTGGATGCTATCTGGTCCCAGTGACTTGTTACTGTTAAGTTTATCAATTTGTTCCAAAACCTCCTCTAATGACACATCAATCTGGGACAGTACCTCAGATGTGTCACCTAAAAATAACAGCTCAGGTTTGGGAATCTCCCCAATATCCTCAGCTGTGAAGACTGAAGCAGAGAATTCATTTAGCTTTTCCACTATGACTTTATCATCTTTGAGTGCTCCTTTAGCATCTCAATCCAAGGGCCCCCACTGGTTGTTTAGCCAGCTTCCTGCTTCTAATGTACTTAAAAAAACATTTTACTATTATTTTTTGAGTTTTTGGCTAGCTGGAGTAAGAAGTCCTCCAGTTTGACAGTACTTTGACACTATTTTGAAATAACTGCCTGCTGTGTAGATGTGGAATAAGTCATTTCGGAATAGCACTAGTAATTTTGAAATCGTGTTGCAGTGTAGACATACACTCAGAGCCACGTTTAAGAGATGCTGGGTGACAGCAATTGGCTGGTTAATACAATAACCTATTAGGATGAGACTGCAAGGCTACGTCTACACTGGCATCCCTTCCGGAAAAGGTATGCTAATGTAGCACGTTGGAATAGGCAAATCCACGGGGGATTTAAATATCCCCCGCGGCATTTGCATTAACATGGCTTCCGCTTTTTTCCGGCTTGGGGAAAAGCCGGAGAAAAGCGCCAGTCTAGACGTTATTCTCCGGAAAAGGCTTTATTCAAGTAGGAATTTAAATCAGGGAATGACTGTGTTTGGGGAATTTTTTTTTTTTTTTTGGGAAAATAAAAGCATGTTTAATTGTTTTAATGTTAAAAAAAGGAGGTTCAGGCTTAGTTATTGGATTTAAATATTTAGAGCTGTGTATGTATGTATTAGATATCTTATATTCAGGACATTTTAATTTGCAAGGTGTACAGATACTTTCAGTGAAAGTGGTGATAGTAATTGATGACTCTTTATATTCTTAGGGGACTTTTCAATTTGTTCTCTATTAGTGGGACCTTTATCAGCTGAAGTCAAAGAGGTAGAAAACATTTTAGTCTTTCAAGAATTTGTATTAGAGATATAAAATAACTGTTTAAGCTCTGTTTAAATGTAGATGAAAGGCAGATACTGAGCAGTCCTCAAGGTTAATACCTTTAATCAGCAATAGTCAACATCTGGAAGGAAGTTAATTAGCATGCCAAAGAAATTCATTTCCAGCAAAACACCAACACAGGACTCAGTGGTAAATTATTAACTGTATAAACTTTCAGACGATTTTAAAGTGTCTTCGTATGCTAGAAAGGATGCATCTATTTAACTAGATTGATTTAAAAATCCTGATTTCATAAGACCATGAAAGGTTTCTGTCCGCTGACTCAGTCTCTCCATAGCCTTTGTTTTTTGCTCAACTGTGGAGCTCTACTACAATGCAGCACCAGTGAAAGACTTGTGAAGGATCATGAAGGAAAACGGCCAAATTTCCCATTCCAAATTCAGATCTGAGTCCATTGCACTTGCTGAAGCAGAGGATACAATTTTAAATTTGCTTTCAAAGACAAAACATATGGCATTGTAACTATCTGCAGGACAAAATAAAATGTATTCTACCTTTTTAATGTATCAAGCTTTGCCAGTCGTTGTAAACTCTGATTTGACTGCATCAGATCTAAAAGTATCATCACCTGGCATTCTAGAAAAATAAAATTAGTTGTTTTAACAGCATTTACAGAATGAATATAGAAAACACGTGCCTTTCTGATGTTATTGCTTTTCTGAAAGCAGTGGTGCTGAAAGAGTTTTTGGAGTGGGGGTACTAAGATGCATTCCCCCCTTGCCCGTGTCTGCATCTCTCACCACCCTAGGGCTGGCAGCCAAGTAGGACTCTGGGTCAGCAGCATAACCCTGAGGTGCAGTGATGGTAGCCAAGCAGGACCTCGGGCTGGCAGCAGAGACTCTGGGAAGCAGTGGGTTGAGTGGCATACTCCAGGATCTCAACTGGCAGAGATGTGGGACTAATGGCCAGTACCCTTGGCGGCAAGGTTGCTAGGCTAAGGTGCCCAAAATCTGGGGGTGCAGTAGCACCTGCCCCACCCTACTTCCCATGACTATGTGCAAAAGTATTGAGTAAACCAGTTTCAATATAAACATTTATTTTTCTTCTTCCATAACTGTATATTCAACTGTTTGATAAAGAGAAGCATTTGTATAATCTCAATGTCTTTTTGTTCTGTGTTTGTACAGCACCTAGCATAATCAAGTCTGAGTTCATGAATAGGCCTCTTACATTCTATGGTTATATAAATAGTAAAAAAGTAATAATAATAAATAAATTTAGAGGACTCAGTTTTGCAACCGTTTCAAATTTGGGAGAACTGATTTCAGTTGGATTTACTTGCATGAGTAAATACTACTTGAGTTACTGTTGCAAAATTTAGGCCAAGATGATTTTTATCCAGAAGGTTCCCATATAATCTTACAAAGAAATGACATGGATTTCTGCTTCATTTGTCAGTTGTCTGTCTGGAAGTAAATTAAATTTAAGTGAGAATTAAGAATATTAAAAGTATTCTGATAGACAACCAAAATGTTTTGAAAATCAAATGTGATTTTTCCAAATGTGGTCAGTTCATTTATGTTGTCAGTGAGACCAAATCAAGGAATACATAGCAGACTAATTTACTACCAATGCCTCTTCTGTACTATTTTTGAATACACGCTGAACCTAAATCAGGACTCTTTGGGTATGTCTAGACTATATGGCTCTGTTGCCAGAGCCATATAGATTAGTTTACTAGACATACTCAAATGAAGCTGTGATTTAAATAATCGCGGCTTCATTTAAATTAAAATGGCTGCCGCACTGAGCCGATCAGCTGTTTGTTGGCTCAGCGTGCTAGTCTGGACGCTCTGTAGTCGACATCAAAGGGATTTGTCGACCGCCCCGGTAAACCTCATCCCACGAGGCATAACGGGGCAGTCGACATATGCCTTTGATGTTGACCGCGGAGCGTCCAGACTAGCGCGCTGAGCTGACAAACAGCTGATCGGCTCAGTGCGGCAGCCATTTTAATTTAAATGAAGTGGCGATTATTTAAATCACCGCTTCATTTGGGTATGTCTAGTAAACTAAGCTACATGGCTCTGACGACAGAGCCATGTAGTCTAGACATACCCTTTGGTCCTGCAACATCTGTCAAGAAACAATCTCCACTTACAGAAAATTTAGTGAAAGAGAATTATAATACTATGTTTGCAGAAATAGGTCAGTGGAGGCTTACAAGCACTGATATTTATCAGCTTCCATGAAAATTAGCTCTGTATCTGATTCGGCCTATGGGTAATGTTAAATTAATCAACTGTCAACCTGTGGAAAGTTGAGCATCATGTGGAAAGATTGTGCTACCTCCAATAGATCCACTGTGTATAGGGGATATTTAAGGACTTGAGGCCAGAGTTGTAAAGATACTTGAAATTAATGGGTGTTTGGTGCCTAAGTGCGTTTAAAAAGCCCACTAAGAGCCTGTCTCTATAGATGTCTAAATACCTTTAAAAATTGGGTTCAATTCTTTAAAAAGATCCCAGAGCCCTAATGGATCTGTCAGGCCTAATTCCCTATAAAATGTATACTGTACAACCTCTATCAGGAATAACTATATTTTAAAAGGAAGTGATAGCACCACATGAAAAGTGACTTAAGCACTTGGTAGCCTACGTGTTTAATTCACTTTTGAAAATGGGAGTTGGGTGCTTCTGCAAATAAAAGATTTCAGTTTTTCAACAGGCTCAGAGAAATTTAACAGATGCAGGAATAGTATTGTTTTCTTTTCCACTGAGGGTGAAAACCATCTCCACACTGGTAAAAACATATCTGAATAACTGATAAACCTATGAAAGCTTTCTAAGAAAATATTAGATATTATATCATTAGCCTCTGTTTTCTCTGCACTATGATCTATGTCCCTGGAGAAGTGCTGGAAATCACACAGTATCTCTCTCATATTATTTCTGATTCAGTTGTGCTTTCGTTAATATGTTTAGAATTACTTGTTGATAAAATAGCAGGACTATACTTTTCCTTCCACTTGAAATTTGATTCAGAATTCAAGAAGCACCATCAGTCTAAATCGGGGTGGGCAGTAATTTTTGAGGGGGGCCGCTCCAAGAATTTGGAAAGTGGTCAAGGTCTGCACTTTTGCATGATATTCATGGAGAATGTGTGGGGTTTGAGATAGAGGTTGGGTACAGAAGGGAGATTGTGGTAAGGGATTGGAGTACAGGAAGCGGTGTGGGTCTGGGAGGGAGTTTGGGTGAAGGAAGTGATTGTGATCTAGCACAGGGACTGGGTTGTGACCTTGGGCAGAAGGGGGTTGTGACCTGGGGAAGGGGACTAAGGTGCAGGGGCTTAGGTTGTGGCCTGGGGCAGGAGATTGGGGTGCAGGATCTGGGAGGAGATAGGATTGTGCTGGGGGCAGGGGCAGGGTGTGAAACCTCTGTCCTCTCCCCTGGGCTTGCAGCTGTTCAAACAAAGCCCCGCAGCAACTGCTTTTCTCAGCAACGTTGGGGGGTGGGGGTGGAGGGGCGGGCAGGCAAGCAGGGAGTCTGCCTGAGATTCCCTGCTCTGTCCACAGGCCAGATCCAGCAGCGTAGTGAGCTGGACCTGGCCTGTGGGCCATATTTTGCCCAGCACTGATCTAGATACATGAAAGGCATTTCCTTGATTTTTCAGGGGACTATATATAAGGCTACTGGAAACATACCATTTAGGCCAACATTTTCAAAAGTGACCTCTAATTTTTTATGCCCAGCTCTGAACATGTAGGCTGTATCTACACTGGCCAGTTTTTCCAGAAAATCAGCCGCTTTTCCGGAAAAACTTGCCTGCTGTCTACACTGGCCGCTTGAATTTCCGCAAAAGCACTTTTTGCAGAAAAGCGTCCATGGCCAATCTAGATGCGCTTTTGTGCAAAAAATTTTCGCGATCGGGGCTTTTTTGTGCAAAACAAATCTGAGCTGTCTACATTGGCCCTTTTGCGCATAACTTTTGAGCAAAAGGGACTCTTGCCCAAACGGGAGCAGCATAGTATTTCCACAAAAAGCACTGATTTCTTACAGTAGGAAGTCAGTGCTTTTGCGGAAAAGTGTCCGTGCCACTCTAGACGCTCTTTTCCGCACATGCTTTTAACGGAAAAGTTTTCCGTTAAAAGCATTTGTGGAAAATTATGCCAGTCTAGAAGTTGCCGTAAGGTATTATAAACAAATAACATCTCCATCTCTAACTTAACTCAGTGCTGAGTGAGCACTCAGCAACTCTAAATATCAGATATTGGGATCCCAAAGTCCGAGGCAACTTTTGAAAATTTGACTCATAAGCTTTTAATATATGACTTTGAGAAATATGGACCCAATGTGAAGAACACAAATTTCAAGAGAAAGAAAAATATGTCTAACAATAAAAACAGTTGCGTTTCACAGTAACCTGCCCCTCATGCGAAAAATAGTGTTAGACTCTTACTGCTTAAAATCTATGAATATTCTAACAGATAGTAAACAACGGGAATCTAAACTGCTATATGTTCCATGTTCTGAATGTAGAACTTCTTGAATGAAGAGCATGACTCTTTAACTCTGTGTTAAACTGTATCCTTCAATGCATAACCCTAATATTCTCATAATTGTTTGGTGTGGAATAGAATTTTAGGATGATTTGCAAGGAACGAACACAATATATAGTTTTTTCAGCTTCGTTATCTCACCTGGGATGTTCATGGCAATGAATCTGTTAAGTAAAATATGACACAAGAATCTTTCCATTCCATAGAACAGAAATGCACTGCAGTTACTCAGTAGCTGCTCCCACTCAGCTTGACTGTAAAAGAAAGGTAAGCTATTTGGACTAGGCAGTTATTTTACAGTATTTTTTTCTGGATCCATCTATATAAAATGTTTCAATGTTAATTACTCAACAAAAATTGTTTGAAAAGTAAAACAGACAAACAAAGGAAGATGCAGTTATGATACAGCATTTCAAGAGAAGTGTTTGTGAACTTTAGACAATAATTTACTTTTGCTAAATTGAATACTTTACCATAGCAACACAGCACCTCACAGTAAAAAAGACATCGTCTGTGCTTTTAAGATTTAAGGGACTTTTCTACAAGGGAACAAGCAGTTTATGCTATGCAATGCCCATATCTTTAGGATAAAGTATTTATTTTAATTTTCAAAAAGAATGCTCATGGACTAGCACAGATAAACTCATTAGGGAGCTATGGGGTATAGAAAGAGTTAATCATAAATTAGAAGAACTTGTAAATAAAGCTATATAACAATAATTCCATCATTAGATCTTCTTGAAATTCTAAACTACAGTGGATTCATCCTTTATTCCTGAAGCCTGTGCTACAATATTACAGAATATTACAAAAGTGAGTGTGAAAATGTTGTAGTTTTCAAATATTCGGTTTAAAAATGTTGATTTATAAACACAGTGAAGGTGAGAGTACTTCTACAATGCACAAAGAAGTGATGAGTTATCTGAATTTGTAACTTCCTATTACAGTATTTTGTCAGTGATATTGCTAATGTCAATGTTATCAATTTGTCTATGTATATGCTTTATGACTTTCTCTCACACTCTTTGAATGTGTTCTCCAGATTTCCATTATTTTGGATTAGTAATTTTTTTCTAAAGTTCAATTTATGATAGATTTATTACAATCAAGAAGGATAGTGCTGTTTTGCTAGCAACAGAATGCCCCTATTTACTATAGCCTTGTATGTGACCAATGTGGTAACACCTATTACAATCTGACTTCTTCATTCTTTCATTAAATTCTTCCATCTATAAATTTATAGATATGCTTAACGTATGGGTGAGATCCTCCTATGTATTTGCGTAGCTGTAGCATAATGGGGTTCTGGTCATGACTGGAGCTTCTGGGGCTATAGACTATGGAGATTTTCCAGGATACCAGAGGTATCCCAGAAAATCTCTGCCGTGTCAAGGGAACATGTCTGCTCTTCTGACATTTTTTGTGGAAGAGCAGATGTGCTCTTTTGGAAGCCCTGTCTTCCTTGTTTCACGAGGAAGAAGGGCTCTTCTGAAAGAGGAGGTTTTTCCAAAATTAGGCCCAGTGTAGATGGGCCAAATTTCAGAAAAGCCTTCTTCCAAAAAAACAATCGGAAAAAGGTAGCCTGTGAAATACTTCTTTTAAAAAAGAGAGAAATATAGAAAAGCCATTACAAACCTTGGAACATGCATAGTGCCAGTAATTCCTTCCCACCGTGGTGTAAATTGGTCTTGGTATTTTTCTATGATTTCCTTTATTTTTTGGGAAGGACTTACTGCTTCTGTAAAATAAGGATTTCATCATTTAACATAATATCAAGTATGTAATATTGGTCTACATTTCTAATGTACAGAGGCTGGCAATATATGTTTTTTATTTCCATCAGCATTCACTCTAAAGCCTTGCATGACAGAAATCCAGTTTCCATGGCCTGTCAATTATAGGTTTTAATCCTGGCTAAAGCTAACGGTGCCAACTAAGCCAAGTGTGATGAGATATATTGTGTCTGAAAGGGATGAAAAGATAACTGAGGAGAGAAGTTAAGAATAGACTAGGTATAAAAATGAACGCTAAAGATAGTTCTTCTGTGTTAAGAGTTAATAGAATATTGCATTGCTTACACTATTTCTGCTTTAGGGGCTCAGATACTATGATGATGGAAACTGTGTAGCACCTATATAGATAAAGAAATTCAATTTCCAGAGCTCTCAGTTTAACACATTTCACAAAACTAAATCCTAAAACAAACAACCCTTCAGATTTAGTTACAGTTTAATTAGTCTTTTCCATCTTGATTATATTTTCTATGCTTATGTAATTATAATTTCCACCTATGCTGAACTCCTCCAAAACTTCAGAATCAGTTATTTCTGCTCGGCTGTCAGAAAGAAATTAGGTACAGCAACATGGCCTAAAATCATGCTATGCTAAAGCAAAATTTTACCCATTTGTTAAAGATTAATTTTTATAATTGTATTTGGTTCAAATTCCAAATTTAAGTATATTTGCAGCATGCTGAATACATTAGTAGTGTGAATTTACTATTTAATTTTATATATAATTCTTATGGCAAAAAGCCCAACCAAGTGTTCTACAATTGGTTAATAACATAATAAAAGCATCCTGATTGGTGATCTAATTTAGATTAGTTAATAATTAAATCGTATAGTGGCTTAATATCATGTGTATCAAAGAGCTGCAAGAGACATTAAAGAGTCACTTGCAGCTTGAGAATCTCAGTCTGTTCTAGCCTATACAGCACCTGCATGGAGCTCTTCTGTAACACACAGGAATATCATACAGCACTCATGGCAGTGGCTCTCCATGAACCTCCAATGAATGCTTTAGTAGTGCTGAGGGCCTTAAGGTGACCGTTTTAATAAAAAAAATGGCAAAACAAATTTTTGTTATACATTTTGTAGAAAAAATATGAGAAAGATTATTTCAGTAACTATTACATAAGAACATAAGAATGGCCATAACTGAATCAGATCAAAGGACCATCTAGCCCAGTAACCTGTCTGCCAACAGTGGCCAATACCCAGAAGCCCCAGAGAGGGGGATCACAACGGGTAATCCTCATGTGATCCCTCCCTGTGTAGCACTTCTGAGGGTGCATCTACACAGCCTCCTAAACTTGAAATAAGATACACAATTTGTGCTACACAAATTTCATATCTTATTTTGATTGTATTTCAAAATAACGCACTATTTTGAGACATCCCTTAACTCTCATGGAACAAGGATTACAACAATGCTGAAATAGCATGCCTGTTACTTAAAAATCTATTTTGAAATGATGTGCATGTTTAAAAGATGCAGGGTAGCTATTTCGGGATATAGCCCGAAATAGCCATGCTGTCTAGATGTACCCACAGAGTTCCATATTTTATTACTTGTATGAAGGAGGAAGAATGTAGCCTAATTTGAATTTGAATTTGAAACAGGCTTTTATTTTTATCAAAAGTTCATAAAAATAATTAAAACTCTGGCAATTAAGCAACATTATAACGATGAGCTGTTGTGTCACCTCATGTCTTAAATTCATCACTTACTATAAAAATGTTCCAAATCCACAAAACTTTACTTTGTAAAATAATTTTCTAAATATATTACCTGCATCTTTTGCTTCATTATATGGATCCACAACATCTGACCTATAGCTAAGGAGGTGTAAACAATGAAATCCATCATCTTAACTGAGGCATTCTAGTTAATAGTTCCTTTTGAAAGGATACATTTCAAATTGTGTGTATCAACAGACAGGCAGTTAGGAGGTAGAACACGATTAATAGGTACCTACAATTAAATAGCAAAGATTTTTTTTGCAATTAAAAATATTCAATAATTATATTTACATTGCACAACTTTGTGTCTGACAAAATATCCTACACTAAAATGCTGTGCTGAAGTCTGTGAATTAAGACCAAAAACCAAAACTATAAACGTATTTTGTAGAGGAGAAGTAATTCAAGTATGTTTGAAGCATCTTGCCTTGATCTAATGCTTGATAGCTTGTGTAACGACCTAGAGTCATTCACTGTCCTATGTAGTGGCACTTAGACCACTTATAGCGAGAGATAAGAACAAGGGAGCTCTACAGCCTAAACTGAGAGGCAGTTGGCTTTATAGTTCAAGCTGTAGAAGTCCCAAGTTCAAATCCCTCCTTGTGGTGGTTACAGGGCGTGTCTACACAGCAGGGCTAAAGTTAACATAAGCTATGCAACTTGAGCTACATCAATTGTGTAGTGTAAATTGAAATAACGTATTTTGTTTTTTGGCGGTCTATGCTGCAGGAAATCCGAGGAAAAACTCTCTTCCTCCGATTTCCCTTACTCCTTATAAAATGAGGGTTATAGGAGACGAAGTAAGAAGTCCTCCAGCTAAACATTATTTTGACATTATGTTGAAATAACTGCTTGTAGTGTAGACATGGACAATGTTCTTTTGCAATAATGTCAGTTATTCCAAAATAATACTGCTGTGTAGACATACCCACACAGAACATTAATTTAAAAGAAATGGGGGTTAGTTACCTGTAACTGGACATTCTTCAACATGCATGGTCCCTATCAGTACTCCATATGTGGGTAACACATACGTACTATGAACCAGATATCAGACATTCTAAGCAACAATATCCATTGGACTGCAAATGTGCAGTAGCTCTCTCCATACTGAACCGACGCATAAAAAGCAGAGTTGACCAATATCTCTGCAGTTCCTCTTTTGACTGAAAATCTGAATCTAGAGCAGAGGCCTGAACTAACTCATAATAGCGCACTTTGCAGAGATACATGTCTTACTCAAGTAGCAAAAGTCATTGTCACTCATGGACAAGGAACAAGAGCAGGAGTCACAGTTCTTCAACCTTGGAATTCAGGGCATAGTTCCAGGCTTTACGGATGGAGTTTCTGGTACAGAGAAAAACAGATCTCCTGGTGGAGGGGAAGGGGCAACTGCCCTGCAGCTCTGTGATTCAAAAGGGCCTGGGACTCCCAGCCACCACTGCTGCTACTATGGCAGTGTCCAGAACCTGGGCCCCTTTAAATCACCACTGGAGCCCAATTCAATGCACTCGGGAAACACTGAGGCTTCCAGCCCTGCACCTTCCAGGGTACATGGAGCCAAATCCCCTCCCTGCCTTGCCCAGGGGCTCAGTGAATTTGTTGGGCTCCCTGGAGCAATAGTAATCATGCTATAAAACTCTAATTAGACTAATATAAAAGTTATGAAATATAGAACTATTAATTATTTATTTACAGGCTCTAATGAGAAAAACTGCAAATTTCAGTGGACACAGGCATTCTAAATCATGCCATGAGGCAGTAAGACAGAACTGGTGAGCCATCGGCCCACAGTGCCTCTTATACCCGCATTTGGGAGCACAAGATCTACTGCACACATATGGCCCAATGGATACTGCATGTTAGAATTTCTGCACTATGGCACACAGAATACATGTATATTCAGGTGTGAAATACACCCAGGGAAAAGCACTCAAAGAAGAACTATTAGCTCAGCAATTATTGGACAAAGATTAATAAAAAGTTCCTTATTTCAAATACTGTGGTTTTCACTCCATCTAACACTTACAGTGTGTGTAACAAAGATCCTGACAAGAACAACAAATTGCTCTATTGCTTCTCTTAACTCATGTGTCTTAGGAAAAATCCAAGGAAATAAAAAAAAAATTAAAATACAACTACTCTCCAACTGTTTGTAAGAACTCTTGAGATTATGGATTTAATAGCGATGAACATCTCGTTATACTTTCATGTAAAGCAATACAAATATGTCTTGCTTACCATTTTGACGTTCTTTTTCTGATCCGCTTTTGGTTTTGATTCCTTTGGAATTTTAGGATCCTTTTTTACGTCATTCTCTGTGAAAGTTCAAAAAATAAAAACTTTAAAATATAAGTGGCATTTGCTAAACTGCTGTGCAAATGCTCCTTCACTGAATTTTTGTTTAAATAGAGAATATGTGGAATGTTTTGAATGTGAATAGAAATTTAGGAATTTTGTGTCTTGTACATCAAAACTTAATGTGAAAAAATAATTAAATGTTGAGTGAATGGGCACTCTCTCTGTTCTGCTCTCTCTTCTGTTAGGGCTATTTTGTGGTGGAATTGCAGCTTCTGAAGGTGGCAGAGGGACAAAGTGCCTGTCCAACTCAAAATTTCATGCCCTGGTAGTGGTAGGATCAGCTGACTGAAAGAGGCAGTGCATAAATCACCCTCTGCGGTGCTTATTAGCCTGCCACAGCAGAATGGTATTGATTGCTTTGGCAATTTGTATAACAACAGCCCCACCATAGATTTTCCCACTCCAAATTGATTCTCAACTGACTGGAAGCTGTCTGGCATTGCCAGCTTCCACAGGGCAATTGCCATGCACTTCTCTATGGTCAGAGTGGGTCTCATTTGGGACCTTCAGGGAGTGTGAAAGCCATTCACAAACTTCAATGAAAGTGGCCTTGTACATTTGGAAGTTTTGCAACCCTGATTATCTCATACCTGCAGCACTACGTGGTCCCACCAGTCTGTGCTTGTCTCATGGCACCAAAACTGATGTTCCACTGTTTCCAGAGGATCGATTGCTGGCGGCATTTTCAATTAGCTCAACCCAAGAGCTTGCCTGTAAAGCATGCCCATGGCACCCCGAGATTGAGATTTCTTCTTTTCCTCTTCCTGCTGGAGTTTTATACTAACACTCTCAAAATTCTGTACCATTAGGCACACCAAGGTAGACATCAACATCACAATACTTTGACGCACAATGGGATTCATGCTCACTTTCCTATGGTCTCTATGTGGGTAATCAGGGCCAAAAAGGGCATGAAAAGACTGTTTCCCATTGATTTCAAGCAAGAGGTGTGAGAGTAGATGAGCACATAAAAGGATGCTGACAACATGAACCCAGTACCAGGTGTTGCACAGTTTTGATCCCAACATACATCAGAAGCATAACCTAGAATGCAAAGTGGCACAGGCACTATGGGATAGCTACTCACAGTGCATCACTCTCAAAGTAAATGGCAGTGACCCTAATGAGGATGTGCTACTTCAAACTACAATGAATTCTTGTGCATAGTGGAGACATGGGTCTTAAACTTTTTGAAAATGGGTGGCAAGAAATCATCCTTAATAAGTTTAACCTTATCTCATAGTGTAGACATGGCATAAGAAACTTTTGGGAATGAAAATCTGTATCCTAGTCAAATGTATTCAAGTAAAAGAAATGAACAACATAATAAATAATTTATTTTATGATATCATTTCTGAAAACAAGGAATATAATGTAATTGTACCTGGTTCTTCTACATGTATTCGACTGTAGAGAATTTGGAGAGAAAAGTCTCTGGATACAGAACTTATTACCTCCTCTTGAAAGATACTCAGAGCTTCCAGAGGTAGTTCCATAAGTAGACTGTCTGCCAGTAATATCACACAATCACCTGAATCCACAGGTCCACCTGATATAATATAAATTAGATATTTAGTAATTCATCATAAATACATTAATTAAAATTATCTGGGAATATGGAGTTTCCTTTTCATCTCACTGCATCAAATACTTTTAAAATAATATTCTATATATTTTAATAACATAAATAATAATATTCTGATATTTCCCTGCATCCAAAGAAAGGCTCTGCAAACTTTCTAGGATATGCATTTGTGGAGCCTAATCCTCTTTCAGAGGTGAAGGTACTCTCTTATTAACAACCATACTGTCCACTGAGCAGCGTCACATGTATTTACCATATATGCAATTTCCACCATGGGAATAATATTAGGCAGTGAACAGACTTGCTCATTTTGACATATTCAAAAAGGCAAATATATTTCAGTCAGAGTACCTTTTTAAAGGAGCTGTTATCCAAAGACAACAGTATCTTTCTATATGAAAAAAATAGTTACTTATGTTATGTAACTTTTTCAAGATGCACCTTTATATCCATTGCACTTTAAGTATGTGTGCATCCAGGCTAGATTAACTTTTTGTGGGACCAGCATCAAATATATTTGTGGGCCTCCTGGCGAATGATTGTAAAAATCAAGAGATCAGCACAGAAGTAGTCTTTGACACAGCACATAACTGCACAGGTTTTATTAACAATAGCTACACAAAGTGGTTTGATCGAATAAATTATTCACATCAATACATACATATATATATATATAATATACAAACAACTTATTTGAAACAAGATTGATATGAAGAATGATGCTGTAAATAAAATGTAGGAAAGTTTTTATTAAAAAACAAAGTTTTAACTGTTTTATATCCATCCCAATTTCATACACAATTTTAATTCAACCATCGGTAGTTCATATGAGAAATGTTAAGCGTGAGGTAGTGTGAAGATTCCCTTTTAGTCAGAGTAGCACATGGCTGGTGTTTTCCTTGCTTTGGCTTTTGTTAGCTGTTTTTACTCTCTTTTAATTTATATTTTTTCTTTTATTAATTTTCATGGACACTCGTGTATTCTTCTTATTGTCAGGCTACCTCCCTGGTACCGTCGTGATAGCCAGCTCCATCTGCAACTAAAACATGTAGATATTGTTCTATTTACAGAGATGAAAAAATTCTTCAAATTTTTGGTGTGTTTGCTGCAGCAAATATTTCAGTAAACATTTCTATAAACTATAGGCTCTAGAGTTATCTGAATCCATCTCAGAGTCAGTGGATAACAGAGTAAGACTGTTAAGTTTCTCTTGAACTCTTGCAGTATCACCGCTGCAGTTTGATACTGGTAAATGCTTAGTGCAACAAAGACATTTGGAAAGGCTTTTGTAAATTATGTATCTTCATTATGGTCAGCATTTGCAGTGGTGTACGCAGAGCTTCTGATAATGTCTTGGAGGCAAGCAGCTTTAAGTGATGGTGCACCTATTCTTCACAGATCTCTTCACTGAGGTCAGCTGAACAGAATTTAATTAATCTTCTCAGAGACTTTTTACCAGCATTACTGTCAAGGTTAAAAAATGAAAATGGTTGTTTATTTCTGAATATGCACAAAATCTTCTGTTGAGATGGCAGATAAGTGAGTAAATTATAGCATAGAATGATTCAACTTTGAACTTTTCTTCCCTGGTCGCACAAAAGCTGGTCCTTCACTATCACCAGCCATACACTTTGGATGACGTTGCTGCTTTACCTGAAAGTCGGCTGTGGAACTTAAAGACATCACAGATTTATGATATTCCTCAAAATTACTGTGTTGTTCTTCCACAAACTCAGACAGTGACTTCAGCAGTGTCACAGCTATGCCTAAGTCCATTGCTTCAGACAGCAAAAGTTGACTTGTTTTGTTTACTCTTAAGAATAATACTCTAAAATGTTGTCATAAATGCAGCCTACAACTGATCCATAGTTTCAACTAATCAATTTGCCTGTGCTTGTTTTGTTCTGTTTTGTACAGTGTCTACATCAAAAGCCTGAAGCATGGATATATAACTTTTGTAGTTGCATGATAAACAGTGAAGTATATCTGCTCTAGCTGACCAACCCTGTGTCACTAAAGTGCTTTGGGAAAAGTTTTCTCTTACTTGTGTGTAGTGATGCTGTAGCCCACTCCAGCATGGAGAGAGTTACACACAAGCCAGAGAAAGCTTGTGCAACTCTGGGAAATCAGAGCAGGGAGAAGCCAGCCAGCCAGTAAGGGACAGGCTGGTCCCTATAAAAGGCTGCAGGGCTGAGAGGAGCTCACTCTTGTTCTGGCCAGAAAAGGAGTAGGAGCACCTGGGCAGGGAGCTAGAGACAGAGGCTCTAGCCTTTTACTTCCCAGGCTATAGGGGCAAGTGTCCAGTGAACAGGAGCAGTACAGTAATTCCTCTTTTAACACTATAGATATGTTTCAGAAAATGATCGTGTTAAGTGAAAACGTGTTATACGGGGTCAATTTTCCCATTGAAAATCATGGAAAAGGTGGGGGTTGTGTTTCAAGCGGTGGTGTCTGTTGGGACCGGGACATAAGGTTGGGGGGAGAAAGAGGACTGGGTAATAGCGGGGGAGGGAGGAGGAGGTGTTTGGCTCTGGGGAAGGGAAGGGAAGGGAAGGGAAGGGAGGAGAGGGGAGGGGGCTTGGCTTGGGAGTATGCCCCTGTGACGGGTCTGCAGACCCGCACTGCGTCCGGCGAGGGGGGTCGCCGGGGAATGGCACGGCGAATGGTGAATCCTCTGCCACTTACTTTCCAGGGAGGCGGGGGAAGCCCCCCGCGCTGGGGAACGGTGCGGTGAGCGGCGAACCCTCCGCCGCTTTGCAGGGAGGCGGGGGAAGCCCTGCGCAGCCGCCAGCCTGCAAGAAGGGGCAGAGGAGAGGGGGTAAAGTGTCTGGCCAGCGGGAGTCAGCGGGGAACAGCGCAGTGAGCAGCGAACCCTCCGCAGCTTTGCAGGGAGGCAGGGGAAGCCCCGCGCAGCTGCTGACAATGGGCCAGCTGGGGAAATCGTGTTATTCTGGGGACAGTTGTGTAATTCAAAAAACGTTCCCTAAAAAAAAAAAAACCCTGCTATTGCGAAAATGTGTTAAGCGGGCATGTGTTAAATGAGAAATTATTGTACAGGGGAGAGAAGGAGGGCAGGACAAGGCTACCACTAGAGGGTAGGGACCCAGAGTACTGGGCAGGTCTGCCCCCCCCCTTTCCCTTTGCATTGCATCTAGCTTCTACGGAGCATAGCCTATACACACTGTGGTTTGCCCCTGAGGCTAGACTTTGGGGCTTCACTTGGCTGCTCAGGCAGGTGCCAGCACTGAAGATTTTTGATACCCCCCACAAAGGGATGAGAGACTGGAGTAGTGGGCACTGCTGGAGTGATGATGGGTAAGACACTGGCCAGAAGGTGACACACTCAGTGGTCAAAGCTAATTCCCACTGTGACCAGAAGGAGGTGCCATGCCGGTGAGTCACAATCCTGTCACATGGCCTCAGATGTCTCCTCTTTCAGAAAAATCTCACAATAGACCCCAGCAATAAGTTGATTCTAAGCAAAACACATAGTTTTGGAACAAATCTAAAAAATGTAATTGTATCAATGCATGAGTGCAGTAGCAACATCATACAGATCAAGTGAGTGAGTCATGCATAGGATGTACACTGCTTTCTCACTGACTGCAATTATCTAAGCTTGCACACCAGAATAAGTGCCAGACATGTTACTAGCATCGTCGTATGTTTGACCTCTTCAGTCCTTCATATTGATATTTATTTCATGCCTTAGAGTTTCATTGATAACATTAAAGAGATGAAGACTTGTATGCAGTGTAACAGGGAAAAAATTAAATAAGAGTTCCATGGGTATGCAGTTATTCAGCACATAGCACACAGTAAATGTCAGCTGATTGGTATGGATAATATCCAGCATGGAGCCAACATTGAAGGAAAAATACTTAGCTAATTCAGCTCATCCACAATGTTCTGCTTTACCTTGTAAGCCATGAGCTTGATAAACTCTTCACAGATCAGTCTCCAATTCATCTGATGAAGTGGGTTTTACCCATGAAATCTCATGATTCTATATATTTTGGTTAGTCTCTAAGGTGCCATAGGACTACTAGTTGTTCTTAAAGTTACAGACTAACATGACTACCCCTCTGAGACTTCACAGATTGTTGATGGTAGATATGATGCTGTGTCATAACCAGCATTCCCATATTTGTTGATGTAGCAAGCCAGGAAAGAATTGAACTGTGCTAAGAGCTCTAAGCAGCAAGGAAGCTGCCAGTATTAAGACTGTCAAAGGCTTCATTAGACACTCTCAGTGCCAGACCTTGTGCTGTCAGAAATTTTATTGTTGCTATGACTTGCATCAACACTTCTGACTAGTAATTTCTTTCTTTAATATATCCATCAGTTTTATGTTTATCAAGGTTAGAGTTTTCAATAAACACATTATGTAAGTGGAAAGAGCTTGTTGGTGTTCTGTAGAACTCTCACGGTCTCCAAGTATGCCAATGTAATTTCATGAATCAAATCTTCTCTTAGTTAGTTCAAATGTGCTGTTCAGAGAAAACAATTTGCACATAAATCAGAAGATACAGAGTATATGAGCCAGGGCCTTTCAATGGTTTCACCATTTTTGAACACTTGATAGAAGGTTGTATCACAGTTTCCTAAAATTAAAAAAAAACACATTTTAATATATGCATACTCTCCAACATTTGTGATGAATATAGGCACATTTGTGAGATATTAAGACAGTAAGAAGATCATAGTGTAGTAGAAAGCAACCTAGAATGAACACTTTTAGATTTAGATAGATACAAAAAAATCCTTGTTTCTTTCAATTGTCCCACAAAATTAATAGGTAAGTCAATCCCTGCTGAAAAGAATTGGTCTTAATGACTCAATGTATTTTAAAAGAAAAGCATCAGTTAGTTATAATTACCTTGTTCTGTCCTTATGTTGTCTTGATGATATTGCTTATTTATCATAGCAATTTTGTTAGAAATCAGTGCCCATGTCTATGCAATACTGTTGGCCGAAATCATCAACAGGTCACAGGGCAGCATCGGAGGGAGGTAATCATACTGGTGTGTTTTGCAGCAGAAGATTATTACTGTGTTCTTTATTTGGTGAAAGGATTTCATCAGAAGAAACAGCATGTTCTTCAGAACAATAGTTAGTATGGCTGGACCATCACTATATTAGTATGATTAATTACACACTAATCATTTTTACTAGCAGTATTAGTATCATCAGTGTAAGTCTGTGAGGCTATTAATGAAGTAACTGCTTATGCCAGTGTTTCCCAATTTTATTTGGCCCCGGAACCCTTATAAACTCGAAATAATTTTGCGGAACCCCTAATAGTCTAATATATGGAGCTGAAAAAGTAGACCACAGATAAGTAAGGATAATAATAAATAAATGCTAAACAAAGTAATCAGATCAACATTTAGTTTAATTGCACATATTTAAAAATAAAAAGCACATAATATTAATTATTATTATTTTTTAATAATAAAATGTTATTGTAATGGAATTTTCTCGCGGAACCCTTATTTTCACTTTGTGGAACACCATTTGGGAAACGCTGACTTAAGCAATGCATTTTTGCATTCTGATGTTCAAATTCTGTTTTCCCTTTATGGGTCCCACTTAAATGTTTTTTCATCACTATTTTCTTTATCACCTGGACTTGTTTATAGAATCCAACTCTGCACTTTACTCAATGCCTGCCATAGATTACATATATATGCTGCTGACAGTGTGATACTATGTGCCTTTCTGTAAATGACGGCAGTAGAGGGAAATAAATGAAAAGGTTTGAGTGATAAGACTTAAGGCTGAGGGTCAGAAGCGAGGGGAACCAGTACAGTGTGGGGAGGAGTCCAGACATTGGAATGCAAAAGGCTGCTTGGGTTAGTTCCCACAGTCAAGCAGAGGCTGGGGAAAAGAACAGTGGGACATGGAGGAGAGAGGAGAATTGGTCTCCAGCTGGAGCAAGGAAGGGGCAAGAGCAAGAGCATGCAGGGGGAGGACTGATCCCCAGCTGGAGGCAGGAGTAAGGGACATCAGCACAGTGGAGTGGGGGCCAGCATCAGTCTCTGGAGTGAAGGAGGGCCTGGGGTAAGCACAGTAGGGCTAGGGAGGGGCAAATGGGATCCCCACCCTTTGTCCATACAGAGCTGACACCTACCTTTCTCACTGGTCCTAGACAGCTCTCTTTATCTCTCTCTCACTGAGCTGCCCTCCTCTAGCAGCAGCTTCCTGTCCTCAGGGGTGGGAATAGGCGATAGGAGTAGGCTAACTGCAGTTTATTTCTGTAACTAGATTTCTAATTTCCAGTCAGCACTGCCAGGTCCACTTTTCTAATGGAATTTATAATTGAAATCTGGATATGCGGCATCAGGGTGACCAAAAAAACCAGGGGCCAGGGGGATAAAGGCAGTATCATTTTTTAAAGGGAGGGATAAGCCTTAAGGAAGTTGGAGTAGTGGGAAGCAAGTGGTGGAAGGGAGATAGGGGTGGAGGAGACAAGCTAGTGTGCATGGCCATGTCTGCTGTGCTGCCTAGGTAAGGACACTGTCAGCTGATCCCATTCCTATGGTAGGTTAGAAATTGGGGAGTCCCCAATCCCCACATGGCAGCACAGGGATCCCATTTCCTGGCACGCTGCACTTAGGTGGTGACCAGTGTTCCCTCTAATTTTTCCATCCAGGTGTGGAATGAATTTTTATGTGCACCGAGGCATGTGCAAATGTGCACTGCCAGTCAAAACAAAAAACCAAGCCGTGGGCACTTTAGTTATTAGCTGAGTGGCATCAGCTAAGCAGCCACATGTGCACAACTGACAGGTGACACTGGGGAGGATCCCTGAAATCGGTGCTCCCCCTTCCTTCCTGACCCACACCTGATGCCAGCAGTGTGTCAGTGGTTCTGGGCCTCAGTGCCCCATTCCATTGCCCCTTCCTCTACTGCTGCAGCTTCAGAGCTGAGTGGCAGCAGAGACTCCTCCACCTCCACTCCCATGCTACATCTACACTACGAGCCTCTTCCGCAAGAGGAAATGCAAATGGAGTGCTCATTTGCATATGTCACACTCTCATTTGCATTTCCTCCTCGGATCCTTTTTGCACAAGAGATTTTTGTGCAAAAAAGCGCTGGTGAGCTCCCTTCGCTATCCAGATGTGAGAGGCATGCACGGAATCCAAGCATTTTCCCTTACTCCCTGATAATCCGAGGCATAGGATGAAAAGAAAGATGCATCCTGGAGCTCACAGCTGCTGCCCTCACTTGGTGATACCTGATCAATCTGACTGCCTTCTATGACTGGCTATGAGATAACTGGCTCTGCTGACATGGGAAAGGCAGTGGATGCGATATACCCTGGACTTTAGCAAAACTTTTGATAGTCTCCCACAGTATTCTTGCCAGCAAGTTAAAGAAGTGTGGATTGGATAAATGAACTGTAAGGTGGATAGAAAGCTGGCTAAACTGTCAGGCTCAGTGGGTAGCGATCAATGGCTTGATGTCTAGTTGGTGGTCAGTATCAAGTGAAGTGCCCCAGGAGTCGGTTCTGGAACCAGTTTTGTTCAACATCTTTAAAGACCTGGATGAGGGGATGGATTTCACCTTCAGGAAATTGACATTAAGCTAGCGGGGAGAGGTAGATATGTTGGAGGGTAGGGATAGGGTTCAGAGTGACAAGGACAATTGGAGGATTGGGCCAAAAGAAATCTGATGAGGTTCAACAAAGACAAGTGCAGAGTCCTGCATTTGGGGTGGAAGAATCCCAAGGACTGATATAGGCTGGGGACCAACTGACTAAACAGCAGTTTGGCAGAAAATGATCTATGGATTACAGTGGCTGAGAAACTGAATATGAGTCAATGAGTCCTTGTAGCCAAAAAGAGTAATGACATTTTGGGGTGCATTAGAAGGAGCACTCAGCTGATTTAAAAAAGTGATTACTGCCTTTTATTTGGCACTAGTGAGACCACATCTGGAGTACTGCATCCAGTTCTGTATCCCTCCCATTACAGAAAGGATGTAGACGCATTGGAGAAAGTCCAGCAGAAGGCAATAAAAATGATTAGAAGGCTGGAGCACGTGACTTATGATGCGAGGCTGAGGGATTTGGGCTTATTTAGTCTACAGAAGAGAATACTGAGGGAGGATTTGATAGCAGCCTCCAGCTACCTCATGGGGGTTCCAAAGTGGATGGAGAGAAGCTGTTTTCAGTGATGACAAGTAACAGGATGAGGAGCAATGGTCTAGCTGTAGTATGGTGGGGTCTAGGTTAGATATTAGGAAAAACTATTTCACTAGAAGTGTCCTGAAGCACTAGAATGGGATACTAGGGAGGTGGTGGAATCTCCATCCCTAGTTTTTATGTCCCAGTTTGACAAAGCCTTGGCTGTGATGGGATTGGTCCTGTTTTTAGCATGGGTTTGGACTTGATGACCGCCTGAGGTCTCTTCCAACACTATGATTCTAAGTATCTGGACATGTACAGTAAATGGCCTAAACAACTATTTATGCTTACAAACCATTTCAGAGGGAGGGACAGGAGGGGAAAGTTGATGATTCAAAATCTGACTCTAAATATTATTTTCTATATATGACATACCTTGTAATCCAGTATATTTTGTCTCCTTATCTTTGGCTTTTGTTTTTCCTGACTCTGCAGTTGACACTGATGGACTCTGCTGTCTGAAAATAAAAATTACAACTCAAAATACTACTTATATCATGGCAAACAGATTTTCAAAGGATATCTCATTGAAATGTAGTCAATGTTGAAGGTCTACTGCCCTTAGGTTCCCTGGAAAAGGACAACCTTATATAATAATGATAATGTTAGAGCTCTGATTTTAATACTACAGGCAGTCCCCGGGTTACGTACAAGATAGGGACTGTAGGTTTGTTCTTAAGTTGAATTTGTATGTAAGTTGGAACTGGCGTCCAGATTCAGCCGCTGCTGAAACTGTAGTCAATGTTGAAGGTCTACTGCCCTTAGGTTCCCTGGAAAAGGACAACCTTATATAATAATGATAATGTTAGAGCTCTGATTTTAATACTACAGGCAGTCCCCGGGTTACGTACAAGATAGGGACTGTAGGTTTGTTCTTAAGTTGAATTTGTATGTAAGTTGGAACTGGCGTCCAGATTCAGCCGCTGCTGAAACTGACCAGCGCTGACTACAGGAAGCCCGAAGCAGAGTTGCTCTGCCCCGGGCTTCCTGGAATCAGCTGCTGATCAGTTTCAGCAGCAGCTGACTTGGGGGCGCCCGGG